CGCGTCTCGAGGTATACGGGGAGACGCGTTTAGATGCGCGCATTTTGCAAGTAATTTAAGCATGCCGATTATCCGCCTGCCTTTATTTTTTTATTTCAGTTTGAAGTATATATATTTTTTTTCATACCAATGCTCGCGGTGGAAAGTTGCGACGCTACGACTTACTTCCGTCGTTACTTTCCATCTCTCGCGGCCTACGAGTGTGCGTTTGTGCAAATGAAAGTAAACGAGGATGTAATATAAATTTAAAGATGGAATTTCTTCATTAAATCCAGCGTGAGAGAAAATAACGCAAACTGCCGCAATGAAAACGAAGAATGCATCATTGTATACGAAGAATATTCTGTTTTTCTCTCTCCCTCTCTCTCTCTCTCCTCGCCAGTGCATTTATGTAACAACCGGTACTAATGCTGCGAACATAAATGAGAAATTGAATAAGATGTAAGCCGATATAGCAGTGCGTGTATATTCTTCGTTGCAAAACAGAAACGCTCGTCATGTCTAATTAGTTGAAGTGATTACGGCGATGATTAGATCGATAAAGCGAATAAGGTGAGCCGCGGGGAGAACTCAAGCGAATTCTGAAGTGTGCAGTGCTCTTTTGTTCCTGCGCCATGCGTGCCTACGTTTTATGAGATTATTCTCCAATTGATGTACTATTTGCTGACTTTCCTCAACGAGGTGAAACTTATTTTTTCTTTCGATTGTCCATTAGCAATATCTATTGTATTTTTATAAACAGGTGTGACCTTTCCAAGGAAATCCACAACTACGCAGTGATTTCTATTGGTAGGGCGAAAAAAAAATATGAAGATTATTTCATTACGTGACTGTGAATACGAGAGTTCTGAAATCTGATGAATGTGATAGACGTAATTTTGAAATGTTTAATCCTATCTTTACATTTATTTTACAAAATAAAATTTTGAAATCGATATATTTCTTGAATTTTCTAAAAATCCTGATTATTAAAAGGACATTGCGTATTCGAAAACTCGGCGCATCTGCAAGTCGAATTTTCGTGGTATTCCCGGCAAAGAGAAAACGGAAAAGCTCTTCCACCTAGCGCGCTTTATATTTTTTCTCTCACGCACGGTCTCCGCGGCAAGCCAGTAGGTACAGCGAAGTGTCTCTCGACAAAGCCATTAATTATCGGCTGGAATCGCGAGACGCATCTGGCTTGGGTTTAAAGCCGGGTGGTTGGTCGGCGTGTGCGTGTGCATAAGTGCATCGCGCATTTCGCGTGACTCGTCTTCCTGAAGCGAATAAGCAGCGCCGCGGTTACGCGCTCCGTCGGATCGCGCTATCGCTGACGGGAATTATGGGATTCTGATAAAAAGGCCCCGCCTGTCTCTGCGTACGGCTGCGCGCGCGCGAAAAACGGATGCGTGCAAAGTCGTTTCTCTGCTTCGATGCCTTTCTAAGTTTATGCGCTACCAGTGGCTAGTTCTTTGGCTCTGTTTGCTTTTTAAATTTTTCCTTGTTATCTACAATTTAAGCACTTTCCCCCCTCTCGACTCGTCTTGCTGGGGTAGCTAATTACGGTTAATTTCAGAAAATTGGGTTGCTAACGTGCGTCTTGCCGTATTCCGAAATCGCGAAATCGCTTGGCAGTCATTTTCTTTTCATGGAATATTACTTTAATCGTTATATTTGAACGTGTTTATGAAATTATAAGCTTTTAACATGAAACCTTCAGAGTGATTTTTTGTATCTTTATTTGGTTTCAACATTTTACTTAAAATTTATATGTGCTTTTCTATTATTTTCTTTTCTATTATTATATTCTGCTGATCTATACATTTTTCATGACTTATGAAGACATTTGTAAACATCTGTCATCCGTCTGCATTACTAATCCTATCACGGAGAAAATCTAAATACGCAAGAATTATTCATTTTTAAATGACGAAGCATGTTTCAATCCAGAATTACGTATTTATTGTAAGCATTTCAATATCTAATATTCTCGACTTTACCGTCCAACGCTAGACGCGAGACATGACATCACGTTCAACTGCGGTCAATTGCATTTTCCCGGATTTCCTAGCTATTTAACCGGCGCGATAAAAATGAAGATGCAAAAATAGCGAATATGTGCCAAAATGTTGTGCAACGTAATTCGTATAAATTAAATTTAAATACTCGATCATCGACAACAGACAAACAATGGGATTCAGTATGAAAAAAAAACGCACGAGACACAGCTGACGAAAATCGCGACAGACGCGTCCGCAAGCTCGTTTGCTTTATCTTGGGCATCCGATCGCCGCGCTTATTATGAGCACGGCACTTTCAGCGCGCGATTTACATTACAAATTTATACGTTTTTGAGCGACCACTCTCTCTCTCTCTCTCTCTCTCTCTCTCTCTCTCTCTCCTCTTCTCTCTTGCGAAGGGAAACGCGATCGCGTGCCGTTGCTCGACAATCAGATTAAGGTTCTTTTTTACTTCTTCTGCCGAGGTGTTTTCTTTCTTTTATTTTGACGGGAAAAATATACGGTTTATGAATACCAAGATACTGGCGAGAATTATTCGATCATTCATAAAATTTTATTGGGTTCTTAAAACTTTATTTGACTTGTTCGCCATATAAGCGATCATGTATTATAAGATTACTTTTCAGTCTCGAGCTTACTATAAATAAATTACTGTCTGAAAAGGTGATAATTTCTTTTTTAATTTTTCAGTACAATTTGTAAATATTCTTTTTTCATCTCAATTTCCTTTCCCATGTCACTGACTTGGAAAAGTGTTTTTATAGCAAATTATTTGAGAAAGAAAATTAATTCGATACAACGAGCTAAAATTGTTTCAAAGTGTTATCTACGGGACAATGCGTAAAACGTAATCTTTCACTTCACTGCCGCAATTCGATGACATTAGAAACCAAGTTGATATAAAAAATGCATAGGTATGTTTATGGAAATTTTGAAATAAAATTAGAATATAAACATACATAGTCCAAAATTGACATATAATATTAGAAATTTAAAGCCTGCATTCAATTTTGAATTATTATTACAAATTATTGAATTTTGAAGCCTGATTGATAATATGAGCGGTAATAAAATAAATAAATAGACGTTGACCCACAAGTTCATCAATATAAGAAACATTAAAGCGCAAAGCGAGAGGAGAGAAAGATCAAGGGCATGGCACGGCGAGGATAGGAGAATCGTTTTTCTCCCACGCAATGGGTGACTCGTCGGCTTTAAAATGAAAACAACATTCAATTATCGAAAGGTGAACGAGGCACTTGGCGCGGTGTTAAGTTCCTCGCGCTGCAGGTGAGGAGTCTCGCGCAAGCGCGTCAGCGTGAATTGACGCTTAACGGTCCAATGCGAACAGACGAATGGAATCTGGATTTTCTTTCCTCTCAAGAGCTGACATGACAAAGCGGTGATGAAGCTGACGATTAATCGTTAAAGTGAAAGAATCATCTGTGGTAGTTTATTAATTGCAACATTTTAAAAGCCATTTATTTGGAGCCTGTTTCGATATATTAAGCTACACAGTTACACGAAGCTCGGATAAAAAATATTGAAAACGTGAAAATTGTTCTTAAAAATCGCTCTCTAAAGAAAATAATAAGACAGCTCAAATGAAGACGTAACAAGAAGCCAGATACCGAAATGAATAAATCCGACTCTGCGTGGGTTAAGTAAAATATCCACGAGCGAGAGACGCACGATCGAAAATCGGTTGAATATTGCGACCGCGCGAGGTTGTAACAGCAGCGTCTCACGCGAAATAAAGGTGAAAGAGCCGCGCGAGTGGGTCGCAAGCAATCGCTCAGTGCCGGCAAGAAAGTGCCAGCGGAAGTGACAGTCGCTTCGCGAGAGACTGGACCACGCAGAGACCGAGTGTGTATATGGTATAAAGTATACGTGCGCACGTCGTGACGTCTCTATAAAGCCGCATGCGCTCGCGGGGGAGGACGATCGCGTCGCCACGGGCGTCCATTGTCTCTGCGTGGGCCTCTCTCCCCCCTGCCCCTCTCTCCGAAAATTTAAAAACGCAAAGCTCTCCCCCCCGTCGAGGCGAATTAATGATGAGAGGCCCGAGGGCTTGCTGTTATGGATTGCTCCGTGGCGCGACTTTTTGGTATCGTTGATCATTTATTGGACGACTTCGTTTTGCTACGTTGCGCCACGGTTTTTATGTTTATTGATTGTCTTCTTTCTTAGGAATTGCGTGATTCCGCTTTGTAAGGCGTGGGAGTAAGAACAGAAAAAATCTCGAGTGAAGAAATGTGAGCTAGAGTATTATTAGTAGTAAGTAATTAATTTATTTAATTGTCGCTAGTCGATAAATTACGTTCAAGTTTTAGTAAAATAAGAAAGTCCTAGCTCTGCAATTTTAACATTCTAGAAGCATTCTAACCCTATATTCTTGAAATAGTCAGACATGATAATCAAGCAGCAAGTTATCAGATGATTCATAAAAAAGTCAGTTGCCATTTTTAATTCCTAACATGTTAGCAAACAAAAGGTTGAGTCAACGGTAACACCTCTTAATCATAAATAAGGCGAAAATATTTTACTGTGTGCGACTCTTTTGTAATTCGTAGTGAGAACCGAATATTGCCATATATAATTTATTTTTTTTTTATTTTTGGGGCTTATCAGAGAATGAAATATCTGCCAAAAGTGACCATTCTTAAATACACGTTGCAATGATCGGTAATGTAAATTTAACAAAACATTCCAATTTGTTGAGTTTTTTGTAGTTGAAACATTGCATCAAACATTGAAATCGCACTTTCATATAACTTTTATTTACATTTGAATTTCTAAAATTACATAAAATGTCAAATAACGTTATCCTGTAATCTTATATTCATGATTTCATTTCTACACAGCAAGTGTATAATTTGTTTTTTTTTTAAACAGGCCATAAAAATAGTCAAGTTGATTCAGTCGTTAAGAGTGTAAAACAGGCAAGAAAAAATATAATAACGATCGTAAGCAAGTGAAAAAAGGAACAATCGTACTCACGCCCTGTCGGTGAAGATCGTCACATCGATTGGCCACAGGTCACGGCGGCAGTCGTAAGTTGTCGTAGAACGCACAGCGGACATGCAACACAGACGGAGAGTACACGTTGAGAAGAAAAATAATAGGGAACGTAGATAACACTTTCGGCATCCACGTAAATCCGTCCGCCCACGGCCATGCGACGCGTTTATTACGCGCTCACCGTAGAGTTACGGATCACGGATACGTATACTTACGGAAGATGGATCCTGCAATAAAAAACAAACAAAAGACACCCGACTCATTAAATTGAATAATAAAATGTGAAATGCGATATAGAAAGAACAATTTTTAGATATTGTATTTTACTACGATGCACAGATTTAACTTCACCCTTTTGCTGGTTTTATAGCAGCAAAATGCTTTTGAGGTTAAAAGTTAATTTAGATAATGAAACTTCCTCTTGTATTAAGACAAATCAATCAATTAATAATTCTCTTTCTTCGATATGCGTATTAGTACCTATTGTCACGAAACCAAAAATACATTATAAATGACATAACGAATATTCTATACATGTTACACATAAGTGTCCCATTAGCAGTTACTTTACTAGATTTAGCCAAAGCTTTCGATACTGTTAATCATACTATTTTAGTAAACGAGTTATACAACTATGGAAATCAGGTTACAAATAAATACAAAGTTATCTTAATGGTAAAGTAAAAATAAATAGAGATATAAATAATAGCGACGAAGTGATATCAATTGGAGTTCCACAAGGTAAGATTTTAGGACCACTTCTTTTCATTTTATACGTCAATGATTTACTTGTAACAATGCCAGAATATGTAATAATATCTTACACTGATGATACAGTGATAATTTCATCAAGTGATACGTAGCATGTGGTTGAAGAAAAAATGAATTTAAGCTAAGATAAAATTTTTAATTAGTTAACTCTCAAAAAGCTAACGTTGAAGATTGATAAAACAATGTACGTAACTTTCGTCAATAATCAAGATTCTATTCTAAACAACTTACGAATCTCTATTGAGAGTTCAGCTTTCTAAAGATAATTATATGAAATAAGATAAAGATATTTCAGTTTTAAGTTTATCCGGCTTTGCATACAGATGTATCTACATTTCTGTGGAATACAATGTTGCGTAATGTGAATCATTATTCTATGATGTTGTAAATTTTTGGAATCAATGAATACAAATACAAAGCTAATATTATTTCGTGACAGTTCTTACAATTCGTATCTAAGTTGGGAATACTTTGAAAAACGTAAATTGCGAGTATTAAGCTCTTCAGTGTTGTATTGCTTATATTCAGTGCTAACGAATCAGTCTTCAGTTAACGCTCACACGATCAACACCGATCTGCATTTGTACTGGAAGTTTCATTATCAATAGTTTTCATTGTAGATAATATTATATTTAATTCATATAGCTGGAACTGATCTTCAGAAATTAATATTTTTGGTCAATGAATAAGAATTATTCAACACGATTTCGAAGCTATTTTATTTATATTGATAAAAATATTTTTACCATTATATCAAGATTTAATTATCAGAAACAGTTTACATTTTATAAAATAATTATAGTTTAATTTTCTACAAAAGTACCTTGAAAAACAATAAATTTTCATAGTACTTGATGGATCTCACTACTAAATACTGAACAGAATTATGTTTTTGAAAACGGTTATTCTCATCGGTATTTTCATTAGTGAACATTCAGCAAGTGGTAAGTTATTTTCATCAATTATTATGACAATTAGTACTCAACTCAATGTTCAAATTACGGTACTCGATTTGGTCAAGACCATACGTCTCAAGGTCAAGACATTTGTTAAACAAATTTTTCTTACGTGAGTGATCGCGAAGAATTGTGTGTTATTAAATCTACAATGTACAGCAGATGAGTGTCAATGATTACTAGCTGATTAAGTCTTTAATTGTTTGACCTCTAAAAGTTAAATTGCGGATTGTTATTCAAGATCTCATTTATAAGCGTAAATCATAAAGCGCCCTATCCTATTTATATGCCTTAAATATAAAAAGTTTAATGTGATATTTAAATGCTGCGTTAGGTTATTTCAAAGCACTTGCTTACAACATTTTAATAATTGTAGCAATTTTTCAGGAGCGTTCGATTTCGGAACATCGTCGAAGCGGTGTTCTAACAGTGAACAATGCAATGAATCTTGTATAACAAAGCACGCTGCCATTTCTGGCCAATGCGAAAGACGCCATTCGGATTATTTCGACAAATGTTATTGCCGAGTTAAACAGGAGACTTGCAAACAATACGTGACGAGCAATTACGTGTTTGAACAATGCGACTGGAATCCAGGTATTTGCATCGAAGTATGCGCCAGAAACAATTATGAAGGAGCTCACTGTGAACCACATTACCGTGTCAAGAAGGTTAAGTTATGCAATTGCTACAGAACGCTGCAGGAGTGCGGCGAATTGGATGTGTTTTTCAGATTGCCCGAAGAAGAAATTTTTTAATCATATGAAGACATGGCCGTCCTTGTAGCAAATACAAATAATCTGTGTATTTTATTTTTGGTAAATTAAAATTTAGCTCATTAATTTTTGTTAATAGAATCCAAAAATCTTATCTGTAGAATTTTATGCTTTATAATAACAAAGAAGCATCCACGAGAACTTATCGATGTAAAATGATGAAATTTATTCTCAAGGAGAAAAACGAGGATAACGCATTATTTTTTATGCGTGCTCGGTTCGATGAAAATTACGCTTAATTCAGGCAACATCTTAGCATAAATATAGATGTTCTGTTTAAAAAGTCATTTTCGCGTGTTTTGCATAATGCGTAAATTTGTCGGGTGCACACAGTAGCGAATCGCCACTTTTTTTATTTAGCAGCGTGTTGAGCATTTTTCCAAGACACTCGCATTTTTACAAGGAATTTAGAAATTATCAAGATGTTTTACTCATTATTAAAACCTTCGCTCTTAGAATATCAATGATTCGAACAGTTTCGCGATGAGACAAATTACTGAATTCGAGACAAATTTAATTTTTGCGTGCTATTTTTTTTCTTATTCGTATGAAGATTACACTTCGACTCTAATAATTAAATGTTTGTACTTAATCATGCATATTCCGTAGCGTAAATGACTGATTCATGGTTGGTAGGCATTAAAAATTTGGAGTTGACATACGAGCAAAAGTAAAAAGAGATTGGTGCCTCATGCGTCAAATAGATCATTGGCAAAAAAAAAAAAAAAACAGTTGAACAAGTGTTCCGTGTCAACTGTCTCGCGGAGCACAGTTTTGTGCTCGCACGATGAGTGCTGACCGATCGGCATTAAGGAAACTCATTGATAGATTGATATCTCTATATCGTTCTATCGTCGCTTTTGTGGCTTTGCCGGTATAGATTGATCAAGTGTAAGCGCGCGCCACAGCAATTTTCCTTGGATCAAAGTAAAAACCGATATCTCCGCCCGCAATTACTTCAGGTTACGAGGCGCATCGTCCGGCGACGCGCGGAGGGAAGATCGGAAGCGCTTGGCCGACCCGCGCCTGCCACACAGCGGAGCAGCCTTCGCGACAGCGACCTCGACTTGCCCGCGGCGGTTGCAGCCTCCTCGCCTCATTAGCCGATGATTGCGCGCGCACTGAGAATTTAATCTGCCGGAGGATGCCCCGCGATCGAGCGCTTCGGCTACGAGCGCAATTTCGCGACCGAGAGCACGGTTTATTTATGAATTATGCATGTCCAAAGGGGAAACGACTCGTGATCGCTTTCTCTGCCGAGCGCGCGGCTACCGCGCCACTCCGCCGACCGCATATTTATATGCTATATTGATTTGCTCTTCTCCCGTTTATTTGCATTGAGTGATTCACTTTATTTTTGCCGTGAACGTAACAGTCAATCGGATGTAGCGCCACTCTTCAAATATTTTCGCAGTGTTTTCATATCCTAGAATCGGCGATTTCTCTTCGGAATAGTTTCATTTTTATCGTCTAAATGAATTATCTAACGCTAATAATTCTGAACAAATGAATCTCGGAGATTTATTGAAGAACGTATGCATAACTTATTCTTACGTTTCTATTTGACTTGAATGATACTCGCGGTGCACCAAAAGAGACACATCACATAAAGCGGCGAGGACCTCCCGTGTCCTCGCTGCTACAATGACAGCCGATGTATTTTGCGTATCCCGTGAAGAAGTTGACTACGTAGAAAAAATTATATTTAATGAAACGAACCGCGATATTTTTAATGAAAGTATTCCTTTATTATTGATCTTGATAAAAAAAATGCACACACAACCCTGTACGCCAACTATCAGCAAAAAAATCCTTGCAACACTGTCGCAGAACTAAACGAGCGAGAAGAGAGAAAAAAAAAACGTCCCAATCGCCGCCCAAGACGATAAATCACTTGTCTGCCCGCGAGAAAGAAAGAGCGAGCGATAAAAAAAAAGGTAAGCGCAGGCAGGCAAGCAGGCGGCTATGTGGGCTTGCGCGCACTCAATTACGCGAAAAGGCCATCAGAGTCCCGTCCAAACACACGGCAGTGTGTGTGCGTAGGGTCGGTGCGCACTTGCGAATCGTCGGCTCGCTTGCTTGCGCCACTTGCATAAGCAATTGCCGGCGACAGATGCGCTTGGGGGGCTATTAGGCGAAAGCGCGGAATCATCGTCGCTCTATTCGCGAAATCGCTGTCAGCGCGGCGCAGTTGGCCGGTGGGCGTGTTTATGCCTCGACGCCAGCGAACCTAATAAATTGTTTGTTGTAATTAAATGAGCTTCGGCGTGCGCGCGGGATTTTGGCGCGAGGGTTGGCCCCCGAGACTGAAAGAGAGATAGCGGAGAGGAAATCGTCTCTCGCGTCGAAAGCTCGAGACTGAGATAAGTAGAGTAACGAAAAAACAAGGAAGCGACGACGAGTGGGATGTACTTGCTGTCTTCGTGTGCATCGATGGGTTTCTTGTCGTTATTCCGTGATTAATTGTTTCGGCTGATGTCATCATTGAAAAATTAAATTGATCAATTTTCGACGCACGTGCTCGAGTGTAGGTAAAATTGTTGAGGATTTTTTCTTGGTCGACTGTCGCGGGATCTTTTGTTACGAAATTTTAGTAATTGATTTTATAATGATCAACGAGAATTTTGCCAATTCATTGATTGTCGTTTGGAGTTGACTAGCCTTCATTAAAACTTTCGTTAATGAAAGCAGATTGTCATTATTACTGATTTAATTATTCCCAACATAGTGATGGCTTGATCATATATTAGGAATGTATTGGAATGACACACGTTCTTTCTACAATACCAATATTAATACAAAAAACCATTTGTTATTATTAAAAATTAAATAAATACTGTCCAGATGGTTATTTGCGTAAATATTTCTCACACATCACTTTATTTACTTTTTCAATTTACTATTGCAATAAATAACAAATTTTGACCACTTTAAAAATGAAATTAATACTGTATAAAAAGATTGCGGCTTAGAAAACCAACTGTAACCAATAATCATCCATTACGACCGAAGTACATCCACGTAAAGTATAGCTACGACTTGCAAGCGCAGCATTTGATCCTCATCGACTGCAGCGCAAGTCTCATCCGAGCTCATCAATTGGGGAGAGCAAGAAGGAAACAAATATATATATGTATATATAAAGAAGCGAGAGTAAGTTGCGGCAGTGGCGTAACGCCCCTCGATAACCGTCGCGATAATAAGATCGCGAAAAAGAGTACAGAGCCAATGGACGTGGCGCTGAAGCGAGGCGGGGGGAAGGGTGAAGTGATAAAGAAGGGGGCGTCGGATGCTGTGTGCACGCGCTATACGTATATAGTGCCCCCTCTTTTGCCGAAGTGAACGTTTGCACGCTCGCACACACACCCACACACGCGCGACAGCCCCTGACAAATGACGGCCTCTCTCTCCGCCCCCTTCTGCACACACACATACACACACACACACACATGGACAAACGAATTTTCCGCAAACAGGCCGCACAGCCGAGAGAGAGAGAGAGAGAGAGTGAACGAGTGACTCGTAATTAAGCGACGCTAGAGAGAAAAAAACCATGCATGTCCCCGACGAACGTTTTCATAAATTTTGTACACCGGGGATTGAAACTTTTGAATGCATGGTCACATTGTCGAGTGAGTTGCTGTCGGTTGATTGATTGGTGCGAGTCTGCTGCTGCTTTTTTGGGGGGAAAACACTTGGTTTGGCAGGTTTATCATTTGATTTTCTAAGGGGATTCATATAGTTGGACGCGCGCGTGTGGCATGATTCGAGTTTGGCTCTGTGTCTAATTTTGAAATCCGTCGACTGATTTTTCCGACGTCGAGATGGTTCGTTCGTTTCGCGGGTTGTTCGTTGACATCGGTGAAAAATGAAGCTCGTTCATCAACTGCGAATTGGTCGATGAGCATTTTAATTGGTAGCATGTATTACCAAACAAAACCGTACGGCTAACTTGAATTATCCATCTACGTATATTTCGATACATCTCACTCGTGGCATCGGATGCACTCACGCGCTGCAAAAAATGAATTTGCTCCATCAATGAAGCTTGGAGATGCAACTCGTTAAGCGCGACGGTCGGAAAAATCGAGCTTAGACTGTATCCTCTTTATGAATGGACGTTTAATTGCCGCGGCCACGATCAAATTTATCCTCGGTTATTTGCTGCCGCGTTGTGCGATTCTCTCGGGATAATTTTCAATTTACACTATCGATTAATCAAGCGCCTCTGCGTCCGAACAAAAAAAAAGTATTTATACGCTTTATCAAACTTTCGCGCGCGCGACACCGATAAAAAAAGGTGCATATACACGCTGGGATAAATAAAAGGCAGAGAGGGGAATACCGGGCTTGTTGCTTTTATTTTATTTTCGCGTGTTAAGCGGCTTGCGCGCCCTCGATTTTTCAGTGAGGGGTAAATGGATTTGACAGACGGCCACGCGCGCTGCAGCCACACACTCGCTGTTTTGTATTTTATTTTGCTGCTGCGTGCGAGAGAGAGAAAGAGAGAGCATTGGACACGGACGTTAACAGCACTCGTTGTAATGCTTTATAATGCTCTTTCAGACTCAAACCCATCCGCACGTCCCTATACTCCCTTCGATGTCTATTATCGCGCAACTCATATTAACATCGGACTGGAGGTTGCCACTTACGTTTTTCAGCGATGTTAACGCGGATAATTTTCTGCATTCTGGTTCTTACGTTGAAATTTGAACAATTTTCTCCTTGGATCTCGATTGGTGCTAATTTAAAAATACAATCAGCAGTATTTAAAATAAATGTTCACGAGTAGGAGCTTGGAATTTTTACCCTACTTTTACCTTTTAATGTACGATATCACGCCCAAGCTAACCACTTTAACAATTTTGTAATGAAATTCAAGAGTGGCACTAAAATTTACGACCATAGAGTTTGTGACAGCGAGCTTTTGGTATAAGAGTCACTTTTTCAAACAGTCATTTATAAAATTCATTTATAATTTATCGACACTATATTCAGTTACACAACCATATCTCATTTTTTTAAACAGAAATAGAAAGTTTCGAAAAA